ATTCATATTGCTTAAATTATTTGGTTGTAATTGATTATCAGAATTTTCATTAGGAGGTAGTGTGGGTTTGTGTGAAGGAGTGTGTTTATTATCATCTTTTCCACTATTATTAGGATCATGATCAGAATTTGTCTGCCCTAAACGATTAGATAGGTCAATAGGTCCTTCACTATTATCCTTTTGTTTTTTAGTAGGACTTTGTCTAGTGGGATTATCTTGGTTATCAGATAATTTTTCGCTTGTATTCCCATCAGATAAATCTTCATAATATTTTTCATTTGAATTTAAAAACAAAGATCCTCCTGAATTTTCAATATTTGTTGGTTCAGGGAATGTTTCCGCTTTTCCTCTACTCCCCTTTTTATTTAGTGGTTCTTCGGATAATAAAAACGGATTATTTTCAGACTTGTTTTCTTTTGAAGAAGTACCCTTGTCAATTTCATTAATAGATTTTTCGTCAATGTTTGGAGAAATTTTCTTTTTCTTCGGCAATCGTTCAAAATAATTTGGAATTAACTTTTCTATGAATTCTAGTGGTTGCTCTGGTTTTTGCACCATATCTTTAGAATTTTCATTCTTTCTCTTAGGGCCCATAGTGTCCAACTTACTAGGTGATTTATTGTCAATAGGTCCTTCACGAGTATCCTTTTGTTTTTTAGTAGGACTTTGTCTAATGGGATTTTCTGGGTTATCAGATAATTTTTCGCTTGTATTTACATCAGAAAAATCTTCATAATATTTTTCATTTGATTTTAAAAACGAAGAGCCTCCTGAATTTTCAATATTTGTCGATTCAGGGAATACATCAAATATTCCCCTGCTTTCCCTTCCATCAATTTTGTTTTTTTTAGGCTGTTTTATGAATTCTTGTTGGCCTTTAATAGAATTTTGATTGGGACCTTCTTTATCCACATCTATATCAGTATTATTTGGTTTTTCATTTTTTTCTTTCTTTTTTTCAAGACTAGAATCACTGATTATACCTTTCTTTGTTTCAATGGGTACTGCAGACATAGTAGTCTTTCCCAATTTTTCCAAAGATTGTGATCCCGAAATATTCATTGAGTCAATCTCATATTCGTCGTCGCTATACGATTCCAACTCATATTTCGAATTCCTCGGAACACTAGTCTTTCCCTCTTTATCTGTATTCTTTAATGTTTGTAAATTTGGATTATTTTTTAAATCACTTTTACTCTTTGGTTTTTTAGTTGATAATTTTGATTTTGGATCAATGTTTAAAGATTTTCTATCAATTTTTCTATTCTTAATCTGTGGTATAATTTCTTGATGGCCTTTAATATATTTTCGAATTTCAAGTGCTTTATTCACTTCTCTACTGTTATAATTTTGTGTTTCAATATTTGTATTTTTTGTTTTGGGAATAGAATCACTGATTAAACTTCTCTTAGTTGCAATAGGTACTGCAGATACGGGGTTCTTTTCTAATTTTTCCAAATTTTTTGATTCTAGAAAATTCATTGAATCATTTTCATAATTGTCACCACTATACGATCCCGACTCATATTCCGAATACTTCGAAATACTCATCTGACCTTTTTCGACTTTATTTTTTAATGTTTGAAAATCATATTTAGTTTCTAAATCATCTTCCTTTTTTTTTTCCTCAGTTAATAATTTTTTTTTTGCATCTGAATTTATAGAGTTTTTATCAATTTTTAATTCCTCAGTTTGTGGCATAATTTCATTTAAATTTCTTTTTTGTAATTTATAATTTAGATCATTTTTATTATTTATAAAAAAAAATTGATTAGTCCTTTTGACAACAGTTTTTTTTTCATTTGTATTATTGTCTGATTTTGATTTATTTTCTTCACTTTTGAGTTCCTTTTTATATTTTTTTTTAATGAAGTGGTTTTCTTTTATATGCGTATCAATACTTTTGCTATCCAATTCATTTTTATGACTTTGAATATTATTGCCTCTATTGGAATGATTGATTTTTTTTTTGAGAATAATACTTACTATTTTATTTATTATTTGATTGTTTTCTTTATTTTCAACTAATTTTTTCTTTTTAAAGTCTCGAATTTCATCCGATATCGTATTCTTATTAAATATTTTAATTTTTTGTATTTCGTCTTCTTCTGTATTTAACTTATTGTATTGTCTTCTATTTCTCAATAATTTGTATTTATATTTGTATTTGGACTAAAACATATTTTAAAACATTTATTTAATTCTATGTATTTTTATTTTAATTAAAATTTTAAAATATTTATATGATAAATCTATATCATATGTCTTATAAACTGATATATATATATATATATATATATATTATGTAATTTTTACTATATTTATATGCCACTATAATGTTACTTAGTTGATATTATATTATTTTTATCCAGCATGTTTTACACGTTTAAACTTAAATGTATATTTAAAATAAAAATCTGTGTTAATTCATCCGTATTGTATCGATATGTTTTTATTTAAAATGTAGATTTTATTTTCAACTTTGTTGATTTAACTTATTGCTGGGGAATGTCTACTATACAATTTAGTGATGGATAAGAAGTCTATGAAATATCTCTTACAATATAAATCATAATTAATAATAATATTCTAAACATATCATCTAATTGTACCTATTTTTGATAATATAATCAATTAAAATTTGATGTTGGACACATTATAATACTCGAGTTTTACTAAAATTATCCGAATAATGGGCAACTTATATTCTGGACATCAATAAAAAAATATATAATCATTATTGGTAAGTATGTAAGATACGAGGAAATTGCAAGCTATTTTAGTTGAGAAATTAAGGGTAGGACTTATTTATCATAATACTTTCTTTAGTAGGGAATAATAATATAAAATATAGAAATGTAGGTTAAGTTTTAGGTTAGGTTATATAGGTTATATTTAATTATTTCTTTCTGAAATATCTATTATATTTATTCTATTTTTTTAAATATATATTGAGTAGGATTGAATGTATTTATGCTAATTAACAATAATTCTAATATCGTATTATATTTATTAAGAAAAAACATTTTAAATGCAGATACATCTAATAAAATTATGCCTAACCACTTGATAAATTTACCAATATACATTTTTATCAATAGGAGAATAGTTCAATAGTTTTTAATAAATTGATTTGTAAGCATTATTCTACAAACTAAGAAGCTTAGTAGATATTACGAGTAGTATCACAACAAACTGATATGACTTGGCTGTCCAGTGAAATAACAAATCGGATTTATATATAATATTGTAATTATGTATTTATCTAACAATTGTTTTAATATAACATAATTGAATTTCTAACGTATATATTTGTATACTACAATAAATTGCATTCAACATTAGGAACATAATAGCTTTCTATCCGTTATTTGATGTCAACAACAATAGTGTCTATCATGGTTGCTAATTCAACCGCTTTCGCTTTCAAAAAATAGTTCTGTTACTGATTTCGTGAATTGAGTAAAAGATGATACTGATTTTTTAAACGCCTCGAAGATACAGAAAAATACAATTCGAAAAATCAGTAATTTATAAATTATAATAAATATTACCTAATGTTTTATTAAAAATGCAGTCTTAAATTTTACATTACTCTTATTATTTTAATAATCATTGATTATTTATTATTAGACAATTTATGTTAAAAAATTATATACATATAGAGAGCAAATATATGTGTTATATGTTACGTCAGAGTTTGTTACCTTTTTGATACATTATTACCTCGGAAAAATGTATTGGGAAAAAGTCTCGATTTTCTAAACTAAATATTTGGCAACCCTAGAGTCCATAGCGAAAAATGCTCATTTAATTATTATATTCTCAAATCAAATTTAGAACTTTATGAAAAGAAGTTACTAACTAAATTATTTTTCTTCTGAAAATAAGTTGTCCATGTTAATTAATTTGATAATACTTACAGCTAATACATCTGCCAACGACACCACTTTAAAAAGTTTATAACGTCCGATACGCCTCATACTATTATTTAATCTTTTAAAGCCTTTTTTGTAATTAAATCCTCTATTTCCCCTATTATTCTTTGTTCTTCCTCTTCCTCTATTATTATTTGACGATTTATTACCATTACCATTATTAGTATCTGAATTTGCATTCTAAATATTCAAAACAAATGTAATTAATGAAAAGAATTAAATATCTTATAATAATATGATCTTATGGCATTATTATAGATTAGATCACAAACCCTATTTCTATATTGATAGAAATAAATTTTAGTATAGTGTATGAATAAATTTTAATGAAGAATATATAATAAAAAATTTCTATCTTTCACTCATATTCTGATTTAATAAAAAATGTCAACCTGATTCCCAAAATAGATTTCACAAAGTATGAAAACCTTATTATGTATTTATGCAGAGCCGTTCTAAGAACTTTTAGGGTCCGGGACAAATTCATTTGGAGGCCTCTCAATTATCACAAAATATAATATAAGAATATGATAAAAAAAATTTGCACCAAGTTTACAAAATCTTGGTAAATATAGTTTTCCAAACTTCATCTAAACAAGGTAATTAAAATTCACTGATATAATGAATTATAAAAATCAAATTTAATGAGATTTTTAATTTATCCAGTTTTGAGTTTACAACACAAGTTGATACATCAAAAATACTCAAAAAAAATTGATTAATCCAAAAATTATATTTAAAATAGGTATTGCCATTTAAAAAAATTCTTTTGTTGCGTATGCACAAAATATATGAGTTAAAAAAAATTTTGAGTCATAAGGATTTATGATACATTGGTCTAGCTTAATGTCCTGCAAACAGAATTGAAAAATATTTACAGGGTAATGAGTGATAAAATGTACCTCTTTTTTTAAGACACACAGTATTATACATTTATATTTTATACGCATAATAGTATGCATAACTAATAATACATTTTAATTTGTACGCATAAGTCATCCGCAATTAGCACAATTATAAACTTTAAGCCAGGCTAATAAGACACAGAAAAAATAAAGGTGCCAAGGTACACCTTGTACCCCTGGTTCGGCAAAACAAGTAAACACCAGAATCACCCTAGCTTTCCAAGAAATTTGCCTATGAATGTTTGTCGACATACCTTGATGCATCAGTCTAAATAATGAGCTAAAAATCAATTACATCAATTAAATAATTGCCACATTCTATACTTTCTCCACTACAAAACGGAGCTTTATCCCAATAGCTTCATCGCTCAACTTAACTCCCACCATCATCTAGGAAATCTAGTAAGACGTCTCAAACACAAATAGTCTAGAACAACGTTTCTTAAACTTTTTTATCCGTGGAACCCTTTTTGATATCCACATTTATTGTGGAACCCCTACTTTTTTATTTAGCTTTTTAGCTTTTTTAAGATTATTTATAAATAAATTATAACCATGTAATAATATTCTGTTAATGGTATTTCGTTCGAAAAATATGTTAAAATAAAAATAATAATAATTGTATACATATATATTATAATAATTTAATAATAATTACTTTAATTAGACCAAATATAAATTTGATCAGCGGTTTTCAAACTTTTTTTTCGCGTACCACATAAGTATATTATCAATCAATCACTTACCATTAATGATTAAAAATAGAACCATACAAACATCACATAATTAAATATATTTTAAATAAAAAGGCAGTAAAATACTAAAATATAATTATTAATTATTTATTATTACAAATTCATTAGTGTTTTTAAATTAATATATGAGATAAATATTGAATTTTTAATTTCCGTTCTACCACTATATGGCCTTTTACGTACCATCAGTGGTATGCGTATCACAGTTTGAGAACCGCTGATTTAGAATATTCTATATGGCTTATACATTGTTATTTAAATATACAAAGATTTTTTTTTCTATAATGTAAACAGTTTTTCACCATTACTAATCTTTAGTTGAAAATTTTAAAGTTATTTTCTTAAAAATTTTTAAAAAATTACTTAAGCTTCACGGAACCCTGAAATAATCTTTGCGGAATACCAGGGTTCCGCGGAACACAGTTTAAGAAACGCTGGTCTAGAGACATACTTAATCTCAGTTGCATACCTCTTTATATTAATCTATCATATTTAAGCATTTATCCCGTAACTGGTACAATGAAAAAAAATCACATTACTGGTATGGTGCGGTTTCTCAGACCGCTTAGTTTCTTTACTTAATTTTGGACCACTTATTTCAGTTATACTATCATATATTTGCAAAAATATTATCATTTTTTGTCAACTTTCATTAGACGATAATTTTTCGATTCAAATTTAATTTTTTTAATGAAATAAATTAATGTTTTGAAAATTTTTAAAAATGTATCATATAATTTTCTACTTGAGCTTTGATTAGCACTGGAGCATTTTAAAATAAATTTTCAACTTCAAAAACGTCTTAATATTGTAGTAGACATAATTTGAAGCAGAATAAAAAAAAATTGACGAACAATTTTCAATTTTTAAATAAAAATAACTGAAGTCAAAAAGCTCTTTTCTTGGGTATGTACCTACTCAAACTAAAAGAAACGAATGAAAAATCATACATAAAACTTGATTTTTTTTTTATATATATTTGTTTATAATCAACTTGAATAAAATATAACAGCTTTATCCATTTTATAATAAATAACAAAAAAAAATTAATTGTATGAGATTTATTTGAATTTTTGATAAGAAAAATAATAATATTAGTAGTATGGTCAGGATCACATTCAGGGGGGGGGGGGGGGGCACAGGCTACAACTACCCGAACGCCAGTTTTTTGGAGCGCCAAAATTTTGTGGTTGGAAATTTGCCCATTTGTGAATTATTGGAGTTTTAAAATTGTTTTGAAATGATAATTATATTTTTTGTTTTTAGTAACAGTATAATAAATTAATGTTAATGTATTTATAGCAATATAGTAATATCAGCGATCCAGAATATTATTAATCTACCTAATATTAGTTTCCAAATTTGTTGTGATAATGTCAATAAACATAAGTTATTTATAAAAATACGGCGTATTATGTTATCGCGTGCGGTGATATGCCTACTAGACGAAAATAGCATTGATTTTAGAATATCTAAAAGGTTTATGAGGATATATCTCCTTTATTTTCCGTGGGAAGGTGCCTTAAAAGGGCGTCATTTTTTTTTGCGCCGGGGCGCAAAATGTCTAAATACCGCACTGGGTATGGAGCGGTGTCTGACTACGAGAGGATTGCAACAACAATGTGAGCTAGTTTTTCGGAACAGTTATAATAGCTACAATTATTAATAGTTTCATTATCATTCTGTGTTTGTTATCACTAATATATAATATTAAATAGGTAAATATTATTTCTTTATATTACTACATTATTATATTATAATATAGTAAAATAATAATATTAAATTATATAACTGGTTTTTTCTATATACGACACTGAACTTAATGTTCTGGTCTTATAACACAATAAAAAAATTGTGTTTAAAAAGAATTATAACTATTCCAGCATCCAGACTGTGCTGCAACTAGAAGTGGGACTGAGGGGTAATCAGCACTGTCAAGAGGCCTCAGCTTAGAAAAATTGAGGACTCAAAATGCATAGAATTTATTGTACTGTATTTTTTTGAGAAAATATCAAGACCAGTGGCATAGGAACTATTTTTCATTATTTTCCAAATTATAGTTTTGTCCTCTTTATATCTGAGAGGTCAATTTCCCCCTCCCCTTATCTGATGACACTGCAAATACATAAGATAAATTGAAAAATAACGAATATTCTAATTCACTGTAAATATTAAAAGAGCTAATAACGTCAGAGTTTAAATTGTTTATCATATTTATAGATTTTGTATTATATTTAATGATAAAAAATACAGGATGATAATGACACTATCGTTAATTTCAGCCATGATAACTATATGGCCAAATTTCACTAAATACATGGAGGAAAACATAAATCGCATTCCCCCCATCCCAGAAAACTACCTAAGATTTGTTAAGCTTATCAAAAAAGCAGCTTCACTGGCTATACCAAGAGGGCATAGACAAAATTACATCCCGTGCTGGAGCAAAGAGTGCGACTCCCTACTACGAGAATACGATGAAACCGGAAATGAAGTAACTGCCAACCGTTTGATAGCTCTCCTAGATGAAGAGAGAAGAAATAGATGGATAACTGCAATGGGAGAAATGGACTACACGTATTCAAGTAGGAAAAGTTGGTCACTCTTGAGAAAGCTTGGTGCAGCACATCCAACAAGAAAGGTTGGTAGTGTAGCTGCCGGCGATGTTGCTAATATACTCCATAAAACATCAAATATTAAACCCCATAATAACGAAAAAATCGAGGTAAAAAGGGAATTTCAAGAAGAGCTAAGGAGTTGCAAAGAAAAGTAGGCTCTTATGAACGAGTTCACTGCTGAAGAGGTCTATAACGCATTAAAATCTGTGAAAAACGGAAAAGCAGCTGGAGTAGATGGAATCCTTCCAGAATTCCTTAAAAATTTAGTACCACGAAGCATTTATTGGATTGCAAAATTGGCCAGTAAAATAGCAGACACTAATGTTCTTCCAAGACTCTGGCGTGAAACTAAAGTGATAGCTATTTTGAAACCCAACAAAGAAGCCAGGAACCCAAAAAACTACCGTTCTATATCTCTGCTGTCAACAATGTACAAGTTGTTTGAAAGACTCCTCCTAAGACGCTTAGAACCACTCATAGAAGAATCCATGCCTATAGAACAAGCCGGTTTCAGGAAAAATAGAAGTTGTTGTGACCAAACCCTTGCACTAGCAACGCACATTGAAAATGGTTTCCAACGGCAGAAAAAATCCGGAGCAGTCTTTCTGGATCTGTCATCTAAGTACGACACAGTCTGGAAGAGAGGACTATTACTAAAACTGGCTAAAATAATAAAATGTAAAACAACGTTAAGACTACTAGAGAACCTAATCTCTAACAAAAAATTCAGTGTATCTCTCAATGGGAAAGTAAGCAGTTACAAAATACTACAAAATGGACTACCACAAGGATCTGTATTATCACCAATTCTTTTCAACACATATACTGCTGACATTGCCTGTAAGAGCTCAAGAAAATTCATATATGCTGATGATGTGGCACTTGTTGCCCAAGCCAGAACCTTCACAGAACTTGAGGAAACGCTAAACGATGACCTAATAATCATACAAAAATATTTTCGAAAGTGGCAGTTAAAACTAAATCCAAGCAAGTCTGTAACAAAGGTTTTCCATCTTAACAACCGAGAAGTGAACAGAGAATTAAAGATACAAATTGATGGGGAAAATATTGTATCAGAAGAATGCCCCAAATACCTAGGTCTGAAATTTCATAGAACCCTAACATATGACCAACACCTGGAGGGAATGAAAAATAAACTAAAATGACGCAACAACGGTATAACTAAGTTAGCTAGCACCACCTGGGGCTGCCACAACAATGTACTCCGGACTACAGCACTAGCGTTGGTTTATAGCGTAGCCGAATACTGCGCACCCGTGTGGACTAGAAGCATTCATTGCGCCAAAATTGACGTACAACTAAACCATACCATGCGTATCATATCAGGTACAGTCAGGTTCACTCAGACAATATGGTTACCCACCCTTTCAAATATAGCCCCCCCCCCCCAGACTTAAGGAGACTATCGCACACCACAAAGATATTAAATAAGCTAAAAAGCCTGCAACCAGTTTTGCCACTACAAATTGACATCCTCGAACATCCGCCATTACGCCTTAAGTCTAGAGCTCCCATATGGCATGCAGAAACTCAAAGCGAATCAGTTGAGTACCTATGGACGAGACGCTGGGAACAGTCAGAAACCCGTAATTGAGACCTGATCAAAGAACCATTTAAAAAAGTCCCTGGCTGAGATAGCACAAGGGCTATATGGACAACGCTTAATCGAATAAGATCGAAACAAGGAAGATGCAACTACCTACTTCACAAATGGGGAATGGTAGACTCTCCACTTTGCGAATGTGGAGAAACGCAGACAATCAAACATATGGTTGAGTCGTGTCCCATTACAATGTTCAAAGAAGGATTAACAAAACTACACGAGGGTGGACCAACAGCTATAAAATGGCTTGAAGAACTAAATACTCGTCTGTGATCTCTATTGTTATTAGTATTGATGTTATTATAATTTACTATACCTACTATAACCTTCCATACTAACATTTTATATATTTTATTACTTGTTTTTAATTAGTTGACTACTGACTAGTTATCTTAATTATTATATTTATTTATTTGTTTTAATTTTACTAACTTTATCTGTAACATTTCTCACATTATCTAAAGTCGAATATGTCATATGCAAATAAAAATAACTGCTCCGAAAAATTAACTCACGTTACTGTCGCGATCCTCTCGTGTCTGACCACAGATATAGATAATCTATATCTATCTCATTTGTGTCTGACAGACCACTTATCAAATTTAAACAGCTGTGACAACCAAAATCTAATAAATTAACCTCCAATCCATGGTTATAATTTCAACACTATATCCGTAGAAAGGTACAATCTACATCCGCGATCATATCAGCAATACCTTATCACCTAAATAAAAACTTAAAATAGCAGCGGTCTTTGAGATTGCGTTATCCAGTTACGGGCTATATGAGTAAAATGAATCACCTTCAAATTTCTCACTGTCCTTTTAAATAGCTAAAAATATTACTTACTTTACACTCTAATTTAAAATTAATCTAAATATAAATATTTTTCTTGGCAATATAAAATAATTTAAAAGTGTTAGGCAATAAAAATGATAACTTTTTTAAATATATATTTAAAATAACTAAATCTATTTTGATATAATAGGGTTATGTTTTAAATAAGAATGCATTTATAGACATGACTTATTAACGTTATCCATTGTTATCAGAATAATTTTCAATATTGAGATTCTCAGCTAAGTTTTTTCATTAGTTTATATTTTATTTATATGAGAAAACACTTTCTCGACTGGGGCGTTAATGATTGGTAAACATAAAATGTATTCCGTAATTATACGAACATTTGCGTGCAATATAACTTTAGTACGGATATGTGTAAATACAAAGTATATATTAAATACAATTTTTAGATAAACAAATTTAATCTTGTGGCTTTATGCATTCACTGTATTATAAAATAATTAATAATAGAAATAATTTATTAATTGTCATTAGTATTATAATAAATTTGAGTCAATCCTTAATTAAAATCAATATACCTATTATTAAATACATAGTTGTACATACATCACTCGGTGAATCATCATGATCAGCAGATGGTTCCTTCTATAATAAAAAAAATATATATATAGGACATAGATAAAATACATTACTCTTATCGGGTATAATCTAGGGAGATATATCTTATGTCTTTATTTTCATTATTCATTATGGATGTGTGTAAATGCTATGTATTAAATACCATATATAGTCGATACAAATTTAGGCTTGTGGTTTTATCCACTTAATTAAAATTAACTTAACGTTTTAACTTAGTTTTAACTTTTAACTCGTTAACACCCAACCTTGATCTGTGGTATTATTTATACTTACACAAAAATTTTAACGAGATATGAGAGGTAATTTGCATGTAGCATATTACTGGAAGTATTAAGTCCTCTTAGTACATTTTTTTTTCGATCGGTTGAAATTTGTATCTATAGTTTTTAGTTTTAAATTTGAAAAATTTGTCAAAATATCCAAAATGAGCATAACAATTTTAAAATATGCACATTCAAATTTTAGATCTGATATCATGACACTGAGAAACAAATTTATTTCGCACTCTGCTATATTTAACAATAATTATAAAAAGTATGTAAACACTAGAAATCCCTGAGCCTAGTAATAATGCATTATACATCATTAATATATAATAAACTTAAGTCAGTCTATAATTAAACACAATATCAGTGGTGGATCCACGGGTGGAGAGGGGTTAACTCCCCCCTAAATCAGGAAAATCATATATTAAAAATCAATAATTTTATGAATTAAGTAAAAGATTTTTTTTTTTTTTTTTAGTATAAGGGAAAGTATATAATTTGTATTCATACAAAAAATTAGTAGTCTGAGATTTAAATGAATGTATTATATTACTTACTGTTATCATAATTCATTATCAATCACTGACTGCAATGTTATAAAAAATATCCCAAGAGAAAACATTTTTCAACACCCCCCTCCCCAAAGAAAATCCTGGATTCGCCACTGCACAATATATCTATAATTCAATAATTACTTATAGTTGTACATACGTCACTCGGTAAATCAGCTTGATCAGCAGATGGTTCATTCTACAATAAAAATTTTTTTATATAAATATAACATAGATAAAACATATTATTCTCATTGAGTATAATTTAATGAGATATATCCAGGGACGCCCGGATGGGGGGCCAGTGGGGGCCACTGCCCCCCCTGAGATTTTCGCGTCACATACAAAATTGGAAGTTATTTTACATAAAGCTGATCTTGGGTATTCAGTGACTATTCGACAATCCTTGTATCTAACAAGTATCTAACATTTTTTTAATCAACAAATGATGATTCAAATAATTTATTTGCTTCAAACAAAAGGAGATTGTCATTACTTTTTGAATAAAATAATAAAATATGATGCGAATTCAATCAAATAAAGTTGTTTTTTGTTTAAACTTTATTATATTTTTTCTTATAAATATTAAAAATAATAACTAATAATGTAATTTTATATAAACTTAATTGAATTTTGGTTTTTAAAAAATTATTAATGATAGTAATACAAAATATGAGTAGATGAAATATGTAGCAGTAAATCTTCCTATAAGTATTTAGGTACTTACAATTTTTTTGCCCCCCTGAGCTACATTTCTGTGGGCGTCCCTGGATATATCTCACGTCTTTATTTTCATTATTCATTATGGATGTATATAAATGCTATGTATTAAATACCATATATAGTCGGTATACAAATTTAGGCTTGTGGTTTTATATATTTACTGTATTATATAATAATTAATAATAGTAATAATTAGGCTTAGGGACTTATTGCTCAATAAAATACACAAATATGCATGCGAATATGCTTCTAAAATCATTAAAATATGCATTATAAATTTGCATTTATATGCATTAAAAAAAAAAAATTACCCTATAGTACACAAAATAAAACGTGTTCGTTGAAGGGGCGTATTTTAGGGGGCGAAGGGGGCGATTTCCCCCCTGAATCCATATTTAATGAATAGATAATATGTGAGATACACATTTAAAATTTTTTTAATGTAGAGCATTTCATAATTAAATCAAATTACATATAGCTGTCAATACTGAATTGCGCTTTTTGTCGGGTCCATACTTAGTGAAAAATCAAACACAAGCGTAACTTTCAAAACAGACAGGTATTAAAAAATAACTATACAAAAGTGGATCCGACATAAGATTAAAAAAAAAAACTACAAATATTAAGGATTCCCCTGATTTAAATATTACCAAATATTATATTTGTACATCTTGAGCCTGAATTAAAGAAAAAATTTGAGTCCCCCCCCCCTAGAAGTAAGTCTACGTCCCTGGTCCATCGGATGTAAATGTATCTTTTAACTCTGAATCAAAACTTTGTAGTCGGCTACTTGTAGACTGTTGTACTTTTGTCATTACACAATGTTACAAAATATACTTGTACGACGTTTTTATATATGATTCGACGTTTTGTGGTTGAGAGACGCAAAAACAATGACGGATAATAATCGACTGAACTGAACACTAAACAAATAATTTATTATTCTATATCGACTATTATCTTTATTGATATCCGGTCGATATCCAGTGGGTTATACGATCGATACGGGTATATAGTATTATCATTGATTATATTAAACAGTTTTATAAAATCTATGGCAAGGCTGGGTAAGGTAACGATTTTTTTTACTCGTTAAGTTAAGTTATTTTAAAATAATTATGTTAAGTTAAATTAAAAGTTACTTATATTTTTTCCGTTAACTCGTTAAGTTAAAAGTTAACTTTGAAAAAAAAGTAACTTAGTTTAAAGTTAAAATTTCCTAATTTGTAAAAATAAAAAATTGCACACATAATATTATTTTTTTACACTCAAGAAAATTACTACGGAAATTTAAAATGATACATAAAAGAATAAACTAATTTTCAAAAAACCTACTTTTCTAAAATAAATCTTAGTCCTGAACTCGTACTCAAATCAATTTACAATTTTAATAATGAAATTAAATTGGAAATTATACCACAGTTTTTTTATGATCAATTCCCCATCGACACTCGCTCTCATGGTATTTACTATTTTCACAGAATATTCTTAGAATTTTCATAGGATTATATTGTTTATACAATAACAATCTTATAAAAATATAATGAGAAAATATAGCCCATATAATGACTATTAAAGTCATTTTTCATATTATTTTCGTCTACAGAAAATTCATATAAAAATAGTAAATTATAAATAAACTAAAACCCTCATTTAATAATTTGCACTAAAATTAACTTAATTTAGATTCTTTTAAATAATATTAACTTATTAACATGTTAATCTTAAAAAAAAGTAACTTATTAAGTTAAAAATTAATTTGTAAAAAAAGTAACGAGTTTATCAACTTAATTAAAATTAACTTAACGTTTTAACTTAATTTTAACTTTTAACTCGTTAACACCCAACCTTGATCTGTGGTATTATTTATACTTACACAAAAATTTTAACGAGATATGAGAGGTAATTTGCATGTAGCATATTACTGGAAGTATTAAGTCCTCTTAGTACATTTTTTTCGATCGGTTGAAATTTGTATCTATAGTTTTTAGTTTTAAATTTGAAAAAATTGTCAAAATATCCAAAATGAGCATAACAATTTTAAAATATGCACATTCAAATTTTAGATCTGATATCATGGCACTGAGAAACAAATTTATTTCGCACTCTGCTATATTTAACAATAATTAAAAAAAGTATGTAAACACTAGAAATCCCTAAGCCTAGTAATAATGCATTATACATCATTAATATATAATAAACTAAAGTCAGTCTATAATTAAACACAATATCAGTGGCGGATCCACGGGTGGAGAGGGGTTAACTCCCCCCCTAAATCAGGAAAATTATATATTAAAAATCAATAATTTTATGAATTAAGTAAAAGTTTTTTTTTTTTAGTATAAGGGAAAGTATATAATTTGTATTCATACAAAAAATTAGTAGTCTGAGATTTAAATTAATGTATTATATTACTTACTGTTATCTTAATTCATTATCAATCACTGACTGCAATGTTATAAAAAATATCCCAAGAGAAAACATTTTTCAACATCCCCCTCCCCAAAGAAAATCCTGGATCCACCACTGGACAATATATCTATAATTCAATAAATACTTATAGTTGTACATACGTCACTCGGTAAATCAACATGATCAGCAGATGGTTCATTCTACAATAAAAATTTTTTTATATAAATATAACATAGATAAAACATATTATTCTCATTGAGTATAATTTAACGAGATATATCTTACGTCTTTATTTTCATTATTCATTATGGATGTATATAAATGCTATGTATTAAATACCATATATAGTCGGTATACAAATTTAGGCTTGTGGTTTTATATATTTACTGTATTATATAATAATTAATAATAGTAATAATGTATTATACATTATTTGTGTATAATAAACTTAAGTCAATTCTTAATTAAACAAAATATACTTATAATTCAATAAATAGTTGTACATACGTCACTCGGTAAATCAGCAAAATCAGCAGATGGTTTCTTCTACAATAAAATTTTTTTTTTATATAAATAGAACATGAATAAAATATATTATTCTTATTGAGTATAATTTAATGAGATATAGCTTACATCTTTAATTTCATTATTCATTATTAGGGAACGGATTTATATACAAATGCATATATGTATTGGATTAAGTGTTTTTATATCTAATGAGAATTGTCTCCGATTTAGATCATTGTTATTAAAATAACATTAATTTTATTTAGCATACTCGTATTTCAACGCTTTCACCTTATTTTGCATATTTCATGCATACTTGTAGTTTTATAGTGCATATATTTGATTTATTTTTATCGCTTACAGCCACATAATATAAATAAAACGAAGATCAATCGTTAAAGCCAAAAGTAAAACAACATACTCGTACGCAACATATGAGTATATACAAATTATATTAAAATAGATAAATTCATATGATAGAGTTGAAAAACGTCCATTACCCTGTCCCCCCCATCTAGAATTGTGTGATTTTTTTCATGCTTATAATTATTACGTAATTTATATGGATTTGTATGACTATTTTCAGAATTTGTACGGAGCTCGAATAACATTATTCCAGCCCCTCCCGCGAAAAACAAATTTTTCTCGGTTAACGAGCTTCGTACAAATGCATACAAATTTCGTACTAATTATAAGCATGAAAAAAAATCACACATTTCTGGATGAGGGGGGCAGGGTAATAGTGTAGTTGAACACTTGAACTTTACGGAATTACGGAAACCAATCGGTCAGTGCGAGCATTCGTACGTATATTTTTATATATAAAACTGTCGCCGTTTTTGTGTCTAGAGATTTTTTTTATTATTCGTTCGTAACTTTAAAATGCCTAAAGGAAAAACACTAATTAGGAGTTGTCTACAGACATACATAAACAAACACAAAGATATTTTTAAAACCGATTGTACAATTTTGTATTACAATATTTGTGAAATTTTTACATGATTTAAAAAAAAATGTATTTTTGATTTAATTATAAGTATATATTTTGAAGCATATTACAGCATTTTTGGGAGCATATTTTGAGAATCTGCATATAAATCCATTCCTTACTTATTATGGATGTATGTAAATTATATGTATTAAATACCATATATAGCCAATATACGAATTTAGACTTGTGGTTTTGTACATTTACTGTATTGTATAATTAAAAATATAAATTATTCATTAATTATCATTAGTATTATAATAAACTTGAGTCAATCCTTAATTAAACACAATATAGGTACTTATAATTCAATAAATATGTGTACATACACGTTTCGATGAACCAGCATGATTAGCAGATGGTTTGGACTACAAAAAAAAAAATAAAAATAAAAACCATAAATAAAACACACTATAGGTACCTATTTTGAACATAATTTAATGATATATATCTTACGTCTTTATCTTCATTATCATGTGGTTCGTCTTTCATACGCTAAACAAAATCAGATACAGGAGATAAAGTACAAATTATTAAAAAGACAAATCATACTAGTCAAATTAATTTTAAATTGAATACTTTACCTTCACCCATTCATTTTCAACAAAAGCGTCTGCAAATTTTCCAAAATTCTGAAAAATTATTTTAACAATTTATATAATAGATAAGTTGAATCTGTGCCCAAGGTCGTAATTATATTTTTTATTTAGGTTAAATCCAAAGTGTTTTTAGGTATTATTGTGATATTTTAATTTAAAAACGATCCATGTCAAATTTTTAGCCGAAACATGTAAAGGGTCCTATCATTGGATAACATCGCTACTCATTATCTCCCGGTCTATTATCATTGATTTTTTAATCCATTTTCTTATTTATTAAATTTTTTTATGTAAACTTTAAATTATATTCATTTTGAATAAAAAAAAAAAAATTAAAAAAAAATGTTCCTCAGGGATCTTATAGTTAAGTAGCAACTTGATAATCTAAACGCCAAAAGAATATTTTGTTCTTAATGCTCGTATTAATTATTTGGGTTCAATTTATTTGAAAAATAATTGGCGTGTGAAAATTATAAAAAAAGGAGCTTTAATGTTTAATCTGCGTCCAGACTATGCCGCTGAATGCCATTTGGCAGAGTAAAAAATGATGTAGACGTGGTTGTTGACATATGCCAACTGGCAAATCCATTACCAAGCAACATGTCAACAAATATCGCTCAAGTATTGGTCTACTTAAAAGAAGGTCAATGAAAACAAATAATATGTACGGGCCAACTGGCCACCCGCGGTTTTAGTTGTGATTTGACTGCCGTGGCAGCGTTGAGTAGGTTAATTAACTTTATATATTTTTTCACGTTATTCGTTTTGATGAAATGGACTAATAAAAAAGTTTTAAATTTAATTAAATCACACTTATCTATACTACACTTATCCAAAATTGTTGTTTTCTCTATTCACGAATGTTTTCTTTGCTCTCGCTAATAACATCACGTGCAGCGATTAGTATTGGAAAATATATCAAAAGAATTTAAAAAACGAAAAACTTATCAAACATATTATCATGTAAATGGCATTCAAATGACTAATTGTCAACACCTGTGGACAATGGTATTACAAGTGACTTTGCTAATTTAGCTTTGTCAATAGCCGTGTTAAATGGTATTCAGCAGCATAGTTTGGATGCGCAATTACACTTCATTACTCGTAGTATGACGGTTAAACCTAGAAAAAATATTTTACTGGAAGATAAGCAATTTTAAAATAAGCAGTGGAGGAAAAACAAATAAACACAAAATTCATGTATCTACTTACCTACAGAATAATTTTAATAAATTTATCTAAGGTGACCATATGTTTTTCTAGTCAAAACGGAGCAAAAAAGAAAAATCTTCATAATTTTGATTATAGACAAATTTTTTTTTATTTAATAGTTATTAACAAAATTACATACTATTATAGTTTTAAGAAACAAAATAATTAAATTAATTCATTACACTTGTTGATAAGTAATTCATTTTTATTATGAACTTTTAATTTTTTTTTTTTATTTTTTTTTTTTTAAGTAGGAAAAGCGTTTGCGTAAAGAAAACGGTCGACGATTACTGTAATACTGAAATAATAAACTACGAAATATAATTTTGTGTTAACGTTAATATTGTGGTGTTTATATAATATTATACATTAGGTTAAAAGGTTGGTGTTAACACAATGTTCAGCGCAATAGGTGCTTTTATATTTTATTAGTGTAAATACAGATGTGTATAGACAGCGGCGCAGCGCCGACTTATATTTCATTTGGTGGGGCAAAGTATAACAATTTGTTAATACCACTACCCAAAAAGTTAGTGTAAAATAATGTCAGGCTATATGATTGAATGAATATATTGTAAATTTAAAAATCATAGTTATAGCATTATTTGTTTAATGTTTGGTATTTTTAGTAATTCATTTTCTGGAAACGCCGAACGGCTGACTGCCTGCACTATTAAGTATATTTTAGAATACGATTGTATTTATTGTTAAATGTGCCACTTAAAACAACACATAATTATAATAATATAAATTATGATCGAGTAAAATGCCTCATATTATATTATAAATCGATAATCATACAAACTGAAAATTATAATTATAAATTAGGTATTAATTATTACCTATTTACGTTACCTATTGCTTACCTACTTCATAGCGGTTTAAAAAAAAATGCTTAATATAATTTTAAGCGTGTATAAATATACGTTTAATTATTTAAATATTAAATACGTTATTAAAATTAAAGAAATGTTTAATCTTAAAAAAAAAACTGTTTATTTCATTTTTTAAACAACTGTAATTTAAAAAAGATACTTCAAAAATGTTTCACTGGGTTATTGGTAATTTAAGTACTATCTCAATATGTTTAAAAGATCTTTTAAATAATACATCTATGTATTTGCATGCTGTATAATCACTGAGATCCGAGAGTCGTTTATCTTCATCATGTGTGCGAAATAAATATAAATGTCAATGTACGTCTATACTTGATATGGTATAAAGGCATTGATAGGCGAATTGCTCTATCGTATCATAGTATCCTACCATCTGTATATCGGCTGTCACTTAATTTGTACATTGCTAAGATTTACTAACTAGAGTTTGCATTTATTCGTCCAACAACCTGACAAAAATCAATTACCCTATACCCAACCAACCACCCCACACCCACCACCGTAGTTAAATGCAGGGGCGAACTGCCCCATAAAAGTACGTGTTCGGCGCCACTGTATATAGATATGAATACACCACACTGCTCCGATGCCGATCAACGTTAACCATTCAATATTACAGTATTACGTCGCATGCAAACAAACTAGTTGAATATAATAGAAACAATAATTCATTACGAAATTCAAATTAATTATCGTTATTTGTCACTAAAAATTCTCCTGTGAAGGAAGTATTGTAATGGAAAGTAGATTTATTTTTCTGGTATTTTTACACGAAAACTAAATGAAAACAGATTTGTGAACAGATGAAATATCAATGAATTTGTCGAAAATAATATTTATGTATTAAATATTGTAATATGTTGTTTTTATTACCACGAAAATTATGCTACATTTATTTCATAACATCCCCTCCTCCCGATACATTTTTGGCTATGAATATACACGTATATAGGTACCTATACTTCTGTTTAATGTTTCTCGTAGTTCTATACCTATTAATTAAAATTATTTTGCACGAAGGCTTTGAAATTTTAGTCTATAGATGTTTTACGGTTTAGAGTTCAACTGTAGGATAATAGGAAATAATGTTTAATGCATTTTGAAACTACTCACATCTTTATTTTTGCCGTTTTTCGATTTCCCTGGAGCTGTACGCACCTGTATTGAAATATACATTAATTGTATATTATCTATATTGAGAACGTAATTCAGTGCAAAAAGTTAAAATTCACTAAAAATTATACGAATGCTTCTCAATTTATAAGAAAGAAAATGTATACGTTCATTGTAGATACAATTTTTTATTGGATTGGTACCAAAGCGAAAGCTAATAAAATCAAATCTATAGATATTTGGGTATATAAGTACCATTGGTATTTTAATGTTTTACACACAAATTGGTCACAATTTAATATACCTTAAGATAAACAATAGAAAATTTCTCTAGTAAACTATATTATGTGTTTACCTATCAAATCAAATTTCTTTCATAAAAATTAAAAAAAGGAAGACATTTTGCATAAAATTTCGTTCCCAAACAATAATTTAAATGGGCATATTATTTAGAATGCATTAATTAATTATAATAGGAACTTACATGAATTAAACATAATATTAAAAAAAATATTAAGACGGTAAATATTCGCATATTTAAGTTTATCCCAAACACTTTAAAATTTAAAATTTGTATTACATAAAAGGTATAACTTTTGAAATATTAGGTACAGGTAACAATGTTTCATTATTTGTACAATTGGCAACTTATATCAAAACTCGACAATGATTTGATGTCACACACAATACAACATGTATGATCTATGGAAAATGCGTCAATATATGACATCTAATAAAAATGATTTATATGACACACTAGTTAAAAAAAATTCGTTGATTACTTAAAACAGTAACATATTTATCACTTAGCTGTATTATCGTACACATCAAGGTGCACATGTTTGTATTATGAATATATTAAAAATGCATCTATAAATTGACGTTGAGTAATACAATTAAATATAACTGCAGCAGTAAACTGCTGTATGGGTACAACACTCATTAAAATGGACAATTTTGAATAAATAAATTCAAAGATGATTTTACTTACATAACAACAATTGGGTAATGAGTTGGAACATGGGTACCTATATTATTTCAAACCATAAAATCATTTATTTATACATCGAATTACATAGTTTGAAATTGGTATCCATTTTCAAACAAAAATATTTAGATAAATACGTACAAGTATGCAACTTAATGTTAATTTATACATATATATTTATTTTAAGTAAATACAAGTGGGATAAAACAGTGATATTCCACTCTAAGCTGGAAAAATTACTTTTACTAACAATGTTTAAACAAATTTTAAGTTACGTATTACAGTCGGTTTTAACTCAGAAAAAGAAACATGGTTTAAATGTTACTTTTTAAATTAAAATGTTTTCTTGATATGTTAACTTACATTTTTTAAAGCAAATTATTTAATTCATCAAGATGAAAATACCCAACATGTATACGAAAAAAAAAAATTTATAAATTTAAAATGTTTAAAAAATATGTTAAACTCTGTAAGGTAGAGGTATGGTAGACTAGTAGAGAACTAATATTATTACAATTATCATAGGTATAAAAATGATAGAATGTATGATTAATGACATTTAAGAGGAGCTGTCCGAAGTTTTAAAAAGAATCATTAGTTTAACAGTAAAAGAAAAAAAAATCAATATGTGACACGTTTGAAATAAAAATTTTATGTACACATAAACCATTTTTGGTTTATTTATATCAGAACATGAATAAATTTTGTCAAATTTATAGTATATTGACATAGTTTTTTTTTATATATTGACAAGGTATGAAAAATTAAGTTTAAAATCATCCAGAAAGTAACGTAGTAATTAAAAAAAATGTTTCTTTTTATTAATAATTTTAAAAGAATCATTTAAACTTAATTATTTTGATTAAATGAAATACTAGATACAAAAATAAGTTTAGTATACAGTAATTCAGTGCATAGAAAAAACATAATATTAACCAAAAAATAATAACTTGCAAATAATATTTTCAAATTAAGAAATGCTACTATAATACATTTCCGAAAAAAAAAAACATTTTATATGGTAGTTTAAGTTCTAAATCAAAATTGTTATAATATATAGGTTTCAGGTTAAGTCGTTTGTGATTTGATCCATGTAAACATAGCATAGAATTCATATTGGTGGCTTCTTTTTATTTAAACTTTGATACAAAAATACTAGCTGCAAAAAAAAATATATTATCAATTATATCATATACACACATAAAAATGTTTTTATAAAGTATATGTTTATACATATATATTTAATGTATATTACCTAACTATTGTGCTTATCGACTGCGAGATCTTGACCTTGAAATTGAACGACCAGATATAGCAGACCTTGAGCGAGAACGTGAAAAAGATCTTGAATCAGAACGAGAACGTCGACCACGGCTGTATGATCGTGAACGAGAACGAGAACGAGAACGAGAAGGAGTGTATGACCTTTTATATAATACAAAATAATTATTAAAACAATACATATATATGTTTAAATATATAAACCCCCTTAAGTATAAATATACTCCTAAAACTTAAGAAATACATAAAAAAGAATGTTTTAAAAACTAAAAAACAAATTTAAAATTGTAATTATTAGTTTAATTTAGTTTTAACTTATTTTATAATTTTTAAAATAAATTTGATGGCCTACTTATAATATTAAATATTTAACAATTTATAATGATTCCATTTATTTTGACATTTATATGTTAATAAAATTGCTTGTTATTTATACAAATTATTATAAATTATTTTTAAACATATTATTAAAAAATGTGAACACAAATATAATGTTATGACACATGCAAATGATAAAATGTAATAATGATCATTCATTTAAATTAACTATCCATAATTATGTATTATTTTATTTGGTATATTTGAATGTACATCAGTATAATTAAGTTTTTTAAAGTAATTAATTGAAGATATATTACATAATATTAATTAAATTACATACATATTAATTTAGGATGATTATTAATAAGTGAATTTAAATAACTCATTGAAGACACCAGAGAAGAACAACAATGATTTTCATAACACAAAACACAAAGCATAATAGTAATTAATTAATAATATATTATTGTATTATTTATTATAATAATATATTATATTATTTATTATAATAATATATTATATTATTTATATTAATAAGTATTATTGGATTAAATATAATCTATAACATAATTTTGTAGTACTAAAATATTTATCTAAACCACATAAATTACTCAATAATAATACAATACATGAAATACTATTTTTAAATGTGTGAAAAACATGTTGTATCTTTTTATGGTGACATTCAATGAATATTCATAGATAAATCAATAAATAACAATATTGGATATTTCTCAGAAAATTAACAATAATAATTAAAATACTTTTTTAAAATATTTAAAAAGTTGTGTTCTGTGTTGAAAAGTCTTATAACAATAACTCAATAAAAATATTTAAAATATGGTTAACGCAAAGAACTAAACTTTTCCCGATTACATAATAAAAATTTTTAAGGTCCAATGTTTGCTTGATGACATTTTTATAATTTTGTTCAAAACAAATATTTGTTATAAAAAGAGTCCAGATTTGTATGCATTTACATATTTGTAATGAGTGTATGTAGTTTAATGGGAGTAAGAAATGTGGACAATATGTGTACAGAATGCATAGGAAAAAGTTTATTTTGCATATAAATTAATTTTATATTTTAGGGATGACAGCATATTTGAAAAATTTTGTATATTTAGGTGTATTTTGTATAAAAGTTCATTAAACCATTTTTTTTTATATCACAGTAGAAACTAGATTAAGGTTTATCAAATGTACTAAGTGACAAAATTTCTACGACAAAATCTAAATTTATTCATAATTGTATCATAAAAATAAAGGAATTTGAGTATTAAAACAAATCAGATATATTATATCAAAAAAAAAAAAAAAAAAAACCATTAAATATATCTTCCAGAATATTCACAGTTTGTTCTATGGCCAATATGAAGCATGTATCACTGACATCAGCAGATGTGGAAAGATCATTTAGTATTTACAAACATATAAGTAATAAGATAAATATGACACCTGAACACATAGAAAAATAAATAATTATAATTTTTTATTAAATTTCAATATTTTTTATGTGTCGTAAATATTCATAAAAAAAAATAGTATAAATGATTTTAAAACATTCTTATTTTTTATTATTATTACTAACTAAAGTATTCGTTCTAATTGTTGAAAATATGTGTAAATATTTGCTTTAATTATGTTATAAATTGATATCTGTACTTGAGATACTAAGTTAATCTAATTGAGTTGAATTAATATTTATAGAAGAAAAATTAATAAAATTTATTTAAATGTAAAATTATATTCTTAAAGGCCCAATACCCCCCCCCCAAAAAAAAAAAAAAAAAAAAAAAAAAAAAAAAAAAA